CTGACACACATACCCCTAACCTACCCCCTCAAACCCCTGCACACACACACCCACTCCACACCTCCATACACACTCCACAGACCCCCACACACACCATCCCACTCACCACACATATACCCTTCACCCCCCTCACACACACAATATACAAGAATAAGATTTTATTTTGAGCTATTATGCAATCACCTCCATATACACCACTGCAACAATCATAAATCTGGACAAGAATTATTTTTTAATTAATTTTAAATATATTATTATAGATGTTTGATTTTTAGTATATAACCTGGGGGGGGGTTATCTATAATTTGTTAAAATTATATCTTCTGAAAGGTTTTATTTATGTAGCTCTCTACCCCTCACCAAAACCCACTAAATGGCCCACCAGCCAAATAATTGCCCACTCCTTACCTAAGTAGTGTAAGGTCCACATCTAGGTGTACTAAGTTAGATTGAGTGGCCATTTGTAATGCAGTCTAGCCTCCCCCTCACTTCCCTGAATATCTGTACGCAGCCTCAGTTGCAGGGCCTGGCAGGAGCTGGACATGGACCTGCTGGGTTGGCATGATCTACAAGGACCCAAGGAGCAGACAGGGAGGGGGAACCCCCTGACAAGTACCTCCACCACACTTGTGGCTTATTAGGGCATCAGGGCAGTGATCTGGGGGTGGAGGAACCGATAGCGGCAATTGGGGTGGCAGAGAGACAGCAGCAGACCTAAATTTCTGGGCCATAAAATAGAATTATGAAGACTAATTGTGACAATAGCAGACAGTAGTTCATAAGCTAGGTAGCACAAAATATTGTATCATAAAATAGTTCATGACCAAATATCATTATCAACTACCTATATAGGTCAAACAATCTGGAAACTAGGTAGAAATCTGTATTGTGGCTAGATAGCGTGTGGTAATGTTCCAAAGAATAATCAGATGCTACCTGTCAACCAAAGGAAAACTTGTAGCAACAAGAAAAGAAAAAATCATCTCTAAATAAAGTGTGCAGTATGTTAGCTCTTACCTCCAGAGCTGATAAAGAGAAGGTATACAAGACAAAAGTTAGTGGGAATAATGGTGGAGAAGGATTGTTATTTATCAATCAAATAACAAATCAAATAACTGTTGCTCCTATGTTCTGCTTCAAAATAAATGACTCTACAGTGTTATATATTGTTACTATATTATATGAACATTGTATATTGCTAATATAAAGTGACAGATTATTAGATTGAACAGGTGCATATAAACCATAACAATGAAGGGCATGTAAAATACAGTGGATTTCAAAACACAATTCATATGGTGAAGAAAAACATGCATTAATTATTTTAATTTTCAGGGCCTTCAAGGTGTTCCAGGAACCCCTGGTGTCCCAGGACCCAGTGGACCTTCAGTAAGTCTTTGATATAACCTGTGGTCTAATCCTGCGGAAATCACTGTAATTATCTTATTGCCAGTTTCTTCTGTTCTTTTTAGTTCAAATAAAGAGTAATTTTTTTGGCTGACACTTATCAGTGATGAAGTATTACTTTGGGTTGTGTATTAATCTCATAAGCTACTAAAAGTAGTGGTGGGAGCAGTCCCTGTGCATATGGGTGTCAGTCTCAGTAAATAGGGAAGCCATTGGTGAGTCCTGAGATGACTGAGGAGCCCAATCGAGATCCGTACATTCAGCTGGAGATATGGCAAATAGTTCCTAGAGGAAAGAATGATTCCAGGAGATATTGGGACACAGCTCTTTCCCTTTGTTTCTTTTATCTGTCTGCCTCTATGGTTAGACAAGTTCATGCAAAGTTATCAATGTCTTGTTGTACATCATGGTGTTACTGGGGACACTTCAGTGCTCGAGTCTCCCGGGTATTAATGTTAATATTGCAGCTTTTTAGATTGGCCTACAAGCTGTCCTTGAATTTGTTCTTTTGCCTAGCTCTAGAGTGGTGATCATTGGAGCGATGGGAATATAGGACCTGTTTTGAGAGGTCCATCTTTGTGACATGTCCTGTCCAGCAGAATTGATGCTGTATAAACACGGTTTTAGGCATTTGTACATGATAGAATGCTTAGTCCTTGTTAAATACCCATGCCTTTAAAATTTTAACCCAGGTTAATTTGGTGCAACACATTTGTGTTTGCACAACATGCTCTTTCAAGTGACCTAAGTCCCATGTGTCATTCCCTGCAGATTCCAGCAGGAAAGGCCAAATACCAATCTACCTCCTCCACCCGGAATGTTTTTCCTAATGAATTACAGGAGGAGGCACATGTAAACCAGCCTACCAGCCTCCACAGTCCCCGCCCCTGCCCCTACCGGGAGTCTCCAGCTAAGCCTCCCCCACCCCCAACCTGGGCACATTCACCCCAAAACCTAGCCACTTGCACCTGCCTAGGTTCGGGCTTGTCTCCTAGTATGCGACCCCATGATGATCCCGACAACAAGCCGTGTGAATCCTCCCCTCCTGCCCCTTTGCTTTCCCCCCATATTACAAATTTATAGGTTTGTTTATATATATATATATATAAAACTAATATGCTATCAGAGATGTACAGGGCTGAGAGTAGCAGCAGAAATGTACGGGGTTGAGATTAGTGGGTGTGTGTTGCTTGGTGATTGCGGCTGACGGTTGTGGTGGTAGCGAGCTCTTACTTTTCTGGCTTTTTAGGACTATGTTTCCCAGCATTCCCAAGCTGACAGGGCTTGAAACAGTTTCCATGGGGACACATCAATAGTTTCCATGGGGATGAATGCTGCTGCTCCCTCCACCCCCCTTCCCTGCCCACGTTCCACCGTGAATCTGTGTGTGTAGTGCAACATATCGCTTTTGGAGGGGTGCTGTGAAATGTTTTTGAAATGGTGGGTTGCTGTTGGGCTTGGGTTGGAGTTTGCCCCCCACCCCTGCTACACTGGCTCATCCGCCTCCCGTCCCCCCAACCCCTCAGCGTTCCTTTGAACCCTCACACACAGAACCACACACACACACATACACACACTTGCAAAAATACAATAACTTCTTGAGGTAAAACAAAAAAGGTGCCTTAAGCAAGCTCTGCCTTGCAAGATGCTTCCTTGAGTCTGGAGTGCACTGAGAAAAGGCCGCTCCTTCCTTGTTACAGCCGTGCTTCACCACTTGAGTCCTGCACTGCATGGTGGACCTTCAAACCCTCACACACAGAACCACACACACATGCACACACATCATTCCCTCCCTGTTGCCTCATGCCTGTCTGTGGGCTCTTCCTAGCACACAGGGTGGTGTTTTACCCTGGTTACTGGCCATGTACCAGCCTTCCAAATTCCTTCCTGGTTAGTGGTCATGTTAGCTAATGAACAAGCTCTGTTGCCCCATGGTGTGGCCCTCCTGTCACCCTGCTTTGTCACCCTGCTTCTGGCTGGGTAAAAATGTCCCCTCATAGGTACTCCGCTGCTTTGTGCTCGGGGAACCACCCCTCCTTAGCTGTCTCTTGCCCCACAGCAATACACGTACACACA